TAAGACCATACAATGCCTTCTTTAACCGGCAAACATGATGAGGATATTGCGTAGAGACATAACCTTTAGGTTGTTCCATAAAAACATCACGATCCAATTCTCCGTAAAGAAAAGCGTTCTTTACATCAAGTTGCCACAACTTCCAATTCTTAGATGCTGCAACAGAGAAAAGGGTTCTTATTGTACCATTTTGCAACTGGGCTGAAAGTCTCCTCATAATCTAGCCCATAACTTTGAGAAAAACCACGTGCAACAAGCCGAGCTTTGTACTTATCAACGACCCTATCTGCATTTTTCTTCAATCGGTAAACCCATTTGCATGTGATAAGCTCGCAATTCTCTGGCTTCGACACTAACTCCCATGTCTGGTTTTTGTTCAAAGCATTAATTTCTTCTTGCATAGCTGCTTCCCACTTTGGATGACCTTTGGCTTCTTCAAAGCTTGCTGGTTCTTCATCCAATCCTCCTATAAAAAAGCATGAAGTAATTGAGCAGTTATTCAGTTGTACCTCATAGTCTTTCAGGTAACTTGGTTGTTGTTTCTCTTTTGTTGATCTCCTAGGAGTTTGCTGTTCACCACCATCTGAAATTGAGGTATTTGAAGTTGAGATTTCATTATTGTTCGAAGCATGCGGGTTACCCTCTGGAATCAGCTGCAAATGTTCTTGATCACCATCAAGAATGGTTGCTTGATTGCTTGTTTTCTCGGCAGAATGGTATGATGACACTTCATCAAACACAACATCTCTGGAAGTGACAAACTTTTTTGTTTGAGGATCCATACACCTCCATCCTTTTCTATATGAATCATAGCCAACAAAGACACACCTTTTTGCTTTCGGGTCAAGTTTAGTTCGATTAGATTTTGGTATATGAACATAACAAATTGAACCAAATACCCGAAAGTAATTTACATTTGGCTTTTCATCATATAGAGTCTCAAAAGGAGATTTTTCTTTACCTGGCCATGGAGGCAAACGATTAATTACATGGCATGCACATTGAATTGCTTCAGCCCAAAGCTCTCGAGGGAGATTCTTATCGTGCAGCCAGGAAAGGCTCATGAAACAAGATGAGATAATTTCCTTTTCGAGACACCGTTCTGTTGAGGGGTACGTGGACATGTCATTTGTCTTGAAATACCGTTGTCATCACAGTACTTGAAGAAATCATTTGACATATACTCGCCTCCGTTGTCGCTTCGTAAACACTTAATCTTCACCCCAAATTCCTTTTCCACAGCAATTTTTAAACTCAGCAAATTTTGACAAAGCTTCGCTCTTCTCTTTCAAGAAACTCCACCCATGTATATCTTTGAAAAATCAACTCTACGAACACCATGGCGTAGCGAAAACCGCTATAACTTGCTGTTTTTGTTGGTCCCATCAAGTCGGTATGAACCAGCTCAAATATAGAGGATCTCCGATTCAATGATCTCTGAAATGGAAGACGATGTGATTTGCCAAATTGACAGCCTTGGCCAAACTACCATCTTCATGAATATTTCTGTAGAGCTGGTATTGCCATCACCAATTTCTTCGAAGAAATTTGCTGCAACAATTGGTAGCCCTAAGTGTCCCAGTCGGAGCATGCCAAATTGCTGGACTATCTGTTTGACTTGTCTTCTTCACATAGGCTTCCCCTACAGCCATGACAAATAAAGAACCTTTCTTTTCACCAGCAAGAATAACATCAGCAACTATATTCTTTACGTTATCAAGGACCTTTACATCATTTGGACCGAACAAAACATATTTTCCTGAATTGGTAATTTGGGAGACTGAAACTAAATTTCTCTTCAAACCTAGAACATGAAAGACGTCGTTCAACTTGATAGCCCGTGTATCTCTAACGTCAATCTTCAAAACTCCTTTCTTTAGCTACTGGATATACCGAGTTATCAGCTGTAACAATAACTCGTTCTCCGTTATGTTGACGTAGCTCTGAAAGTAGTGAATCATTTAAACCGGTTACATGGTGAGAGCAACCAGAATCAATTATCCACTCTTGTCTGCAGCTATCGTGGTTTGTAAAGAACTTGAGCTGTACGGGCACCATCGTTCCTCCCTTCAACTACTTCAACGGTGAAGCATTTGCTTCCCATTTGAGTTGCTCGTTTCCTTTATTTTTCAGTGGCAACATTTGCCTTTGAGATCTTCACTCTACAGTTTTTCTTGATGTGCCCGATTTTTACCACATCTATGGCACCTTCTGTTTTCAAAGTTGCCATCAGTAGCTTTTTCGTTGTTTGAGCCTTTCTCATTGTTCTTGTTTCCTGTTGATGTGTTTTTCTTTTTATTCTTTGTCCTTTGAGAAGAGAACGCATCAGATTCAAAACTTCTTGCCATTTGCTTTGCTAAAGCCTCTTGGTTGGAAAGCAAATTCTCTAATTCTCAACTAAGGTTGCTTTGACCAACCTTGAATGGAGGTGACGAAAGGATTGTACTCCTTCAATCCTCGAATAAGAAATCGTCGCATTCTTGCTTCGCCGATCTTCTCATCCGGATCTAATTCTGAAATTTCAGCACAAATGCTTTTAACTCGTAGGAAATATTCAGAAATAGACACACCTCCCTGTGTTAGGCATTGCCAATTCATTTTCCAACAGTTGTAACCTGGCTGTATTCTTTTGAGAAAACAATCTCACAAGTGTCTCCCAGACTTCTTTTGGTGAACTAACATCACGTACATGATCGATGAATTCTTTTCCAATTGAAGTTCTTAAAGCAAAGAGAGAGCTTTACCACATTTGATCTTCCATTTCCTTCGTGGTTCTGCATTTTTCGGAGTATTTGCTGGAATGTCTGCTTCAGCACCAACAATAAGATCCCACAAGTCTTGACC